ATTGAAGAATCCCACCCCCCATTCCCAGCCCCCATCCCCATTCCCCAACCCCCCCATCCCCACCCCTATAAGGGATGTCAGTGGGAGTGACTGGCCCTCTGCTCCTGGGATGGACCCTTACTGCTTAAGCCTAAAGTAAATTCTACTTCCTTCAGGGATGGATCAGAGCTGCGGCTGAGAAGCTAGGAGAACTGAGTGACTTACTTACCTATCACTTGAAATGTCTTTATCAAGTCCATGAACTACTGTCTTAATTTTTTTCAAATGGTAGCCAAGTAATAAGCAAATGTCAAGGTTCAAATTTTAAAAAACAACTCACAAACACAAGGTAGTGTCCCTAAGACATACAGCTGAAAAGAAGAAGAGAAGAAGAGAAAGAAGAAAACATATGAAAGCAAAAAAAAAGAAACAAGTAGCCGAGTTCTTTCCTAAGTTCTCAACAAGAAGGCAAGCATCTAAGAGCACAGACTTTAGCATCAGGCAAATCTGGGTTGTGAATTGGAGCCTCAGTCACTGACAGGCATATATGACCTGGGCTAAGTCACTTAACTTCTCTAAGCTTAAGTTTCCTCTAATGGGTAAAGCGGGGGTGACAAGAGGGATGCGGTGGGGTGTTGACAGTACAATGCACATATTTGACCCAGAGCCTAGAGATGGTAAGACTCAGTGAAGGAGCTGATGTTACAGGACCTGAAGGCTGAGTGTTTGAGCAAGTCCCTCATGGACAGAGCCCCCAGAGGAGGTACCCATTCTTCACACAAGGCTGGAGCCCTAGAGTGGGTGCTTTCCAAGTAGTAAATACCTGGCACATAGCAAGAGGTCAAAACGCCGCTAGGTGGTCTGCCACAGCTGCTGTTATCTATAGTCTAGAGTATTCGCCTGAAAGCCCCAGACTCACAAGGAATGCAAGTCAGCTAGCACATGTCTTAGATGCCAGTGGTTATCATGTTGGTGTGTTTACGGAGGGCAGGGGTAACAAGCCAATAAGAGCCCTATCTGGTACTTTTACTGCAACTCTTAGGGAAGAAAACAATTCTCTTTCCCTTGGGGTTGCTAGCATGGTAGAATCTAAGTCAACAGAGAACAAAGTACAGCTGAGTTAAGAGAGTCGCCTGATGACCCAACTTGAGCCTAGGTCTGACACCTTGGATTTTCTAGTAACATGAGCCAAACCTCTTTGCCTAAGTCATGTGAATTGGGTTTGTCACCAAGTCATGGACCCCTGGAGTCCGTAAGTCTTAGCCTTAGATGTGGGCGGCCATGATCAACCGAGAACACCAAATTAACAAGACTCGTGAAGAGAAGGGAAGGAGGAGAGATTAGGGGTCACAATGAAAATTAAGATAAAAAATATATGGGGGGAAATGACTTTTCTTTAAAGTGAGAGAAAAAAGCCAAGACTAGCAACAACAGAACAGTTAAAAGGGTATTAAAAAGGGGCCGGCCAGGTGGCGCAAGCGGTTAAGTGCCTGCACTCCGCTGCAGTGGCCCGGGGGTTCGCCAGTTTGGATCCCGGGCGCGCAGTGACGCACCGCTTGTCAGGCCATGCTGTGGCAGCGTCCCATATAAAGTGGAGAAAGATGGACATGGATGTTAGCCCAGGGCCAGTCTTCCTCAGCAAAAAAAGAGGAGGACTGGCAGATGTTAGCACAGGGCTGATCTTCCTCACCAAAAAAAAAAAAAAGGGTATTAAAAAAATACAAGACTAGGATAAGGCCTTAGAAACATACAGATTACTGATCAGAAAGAAATAGCTCTAGCAGATACTTTGGCCTGTGTATTAGAAATTACTGAATTGCATTAATTTTCTCAGGTGAGACAATGGTGCTGTGCTAAGGTGTAACCATGTCCTTCTCAGGAGAGGTGTGCTCAGATATCCACAGTGAACTGGCACAATGCCTGCATGTCTGTCACATGTTTCAGCAAAATAAAGTGTGTGTCTAGAGAAAGCAAAGGAAGTTAATATTTTCATAACTGGTGCACCAGGTGAAAAGCATAAAGTGGTCACTGCAGCATATTTCAACTTCCAGTAGGCTGGAAAATTTCCAAAACAAAAAAGAGAAAACAGTGAGGGATTAAAAGTAGATGAGGGGAAAGGAGCAAAATAGAAGCAAGAAACTTGAAAATTAGGAGTTATAAAATGGGATGAACAGTAAGGAGAAGTTCTGTCAGAAGGGTAAGATATGCTAACAAGGCTTCAGAACAAAAATAGCCTTGATAAACTAGGAAAAGCCAGAGGTCAACCCTGGCTGAAAGCAGCCAAGCGGAGCTGGCAGACGGCTTCTGCATGAGAAACATGCCAACTTCCCACAGCGTGGATGGGCTCAACAGACCACCTCCTGGGCAGAAGTAGGAGAAGCTGCCTGTTGTCCTAATGACTGTCTGCTTTGTGGTGTCCCTGTTGCAGAAAGCGTTCTGTTAGTTATCAACAGTTGAGAAAATGCCACATCTCCCCAAAAGGTATGGTAAGATATTCAGACTGGAGTTATCTCATTCTCCATCTGAGGATAGTCAATCACCCTATTTGTTTTAAGGTGCCTGAAACAGCAGTTCAGAATTGGGATAAAATCCAAAAGTACCCACTGTGCAGACAGAAGATTCCCTAGGTGGGTATCAGGCAATGTACAGCATGAGGCACAGTCCTATCCATCCCTCTCTCTCATGTAACAGTCAGGTCCTTAAGAAGCTAACAGCACTGCCTCAGAATGATAAGGTACTGGAAAAATGGAAAGGAGCCAGGAAGGGGCAGTGAGGCCAGAACATTCAGGAACATTTACAAAGTAGGGAGAAAAGGAGAGAGGGTCCATGGGAGTGGTGCTGGGTCAAAATCAGTTCTGACAAGCTGGAATTCCTCTCCATGCCAAGGATTCTGTTTTTGTTCCATTTTTGGTAATAGATCTTCTCCCTCCCTCTTCCCAGGTCTCTGTAGCTCAGCTGGAGCGGTAGCCCCATCCCGGTGTTTCTTTTCTTTTTTTTTTTGTGAGGAAGATCAGCCCTGAGCTAACATCCACACCAATCCTCCTCTTTTTGCTGAGGAAGACTGGCCCTGAGCTAACATCCGTGCCCATCTTCCTCCACTTTATGTGGGACGCTGCCACAGCATGGCCTGACAAGCGATGCATCGGTGCGCACCCGTATCCGAACCTGGGCCGCCAACAGCAGAGCGTGTGCACTTAACTGCTACGCCAGGGGGCTGGCCCCCATCCCAGTGTTTCATCAAACTTGTCTTCAAAGGCTAAATGGCCAGGTGAAGGCAACGAGGCACTGGTCAGGAGGCATAAGGACAGGGAGGCAGCCTCCCCTCCAACACCTGGAGGCCAGGCAGGCAAGGGAGGGCTGTGCTGACACGGATGTGGGTGTGGCTGACTGCCAAGCTGGCCACTGGGACTAACACAGAGTAAATAAAATCAAATCCCTTTATCAACTGTTTTCAGCAGGAACAAATTTGGATATACTTAAAGCCAAATAAATGAGACAGTAATATGGTAGACCACAGCTGGCAAAAAAAATGGCTCTGGGCCCAGTTCCAAATGTTGGTCAATCCCCAGTACGGATTAGGCGCAGGAAGAATTGGAAGGAAAAAGAGACGCAATTAATTATCAAACTTTAATTGACAGACTAATCTTACAGGATAAACAATAAGACAGCTAGTCAAGGTTACACTTTAAAAAAAATCCAGCAGCGCAAATCTAATAGACTAAATACGTTCATCTCCTCTCAAACAGGCATTTGATTTAAAAACAAAAACCAGAACAGAGTGTATACCACAAGGAAACATGGTACTTACGTATATTGTCAAATAATTCTGCAGAACTCTTTAAGAAAAAAAGAGGTTCTTAGAGATGTAGAAAGCAGTAGAACCACCCAGCCTGGCAGGTAAATGGACCAGATGTTCTGCACATCAGAGGGCTCCTGACCACCTGTGACTTCAGGAAGGCCACCAGGCCCTATTAAGAAGCAAACAGGTGCCAATCCTAACTGGAGATGCCTTAATCACAAACCTCTAAGACAAAGGGACCATCCTTTTCCAAGACAACAGGCGTGAACAGAGGCAAGAAGCAAGAGAAAGAGGTCTCCCTCCGAAGATGGGGTGGAAAGAAAGCCTGCCCTTGCACGGCCGTTAGCACGCTGAGTCTGTCCCTGACGAGGAAAGGGCGGGCCAAGTGCAAGAGCCCAGACGGCCCCTCCAGGCACATGGCTGAAGGATGAGGAAAGCAGCCCCTTCTGGCCGAATATGGCAACTTTTCAGAGATGTGGCAACGTGGCAAAGTTAGTCTCCTCGGCCCTCACAGGGTAAAGCAGCAACTAAGGAGCCTACTGAGGCCTCACTGGCACTACTGCATCCACGAGATTACAGGAAAGTGCATCCTTAGCCCAGTCTGACTTCATTTAAAAAGAGCTAGTGCTACTTACAAAAGGCCCATCATCAATTAAAATACTTAATACCAAAGAGTTGCAGCAATTCTCGAGTCTGAGTTCTCTGACCAGGCTGACTGAAAGAGCCGAGAGGGGCTGGGCCGCAGCAGGGATTACCTTGTCATTATTCTGCCAACCCGCCTCAGGGAGGGAAAGAAAGGCATGATGTCTCTGCGCTAAGACCTGCAGGAGGACCACCAGCATAAATTCTAGAAGAGAAAGCGGCCCATCAGGAGGCTCAGAGAGGCGTCCCACCCGGAAGAGATGGCAAGCCCCTCGCCTACTTCCTGCACACTGGAGCCCCTCTCAGAACCAGCTCCTCCTTTATCCGCCTGCACGCCCTCCGCCACAGTGAGGGAGGGTCACAACCCCAGGGAAAGAACCAGTCCCCTCCGACAGTGACGAAAGCGTACACAAATGATCCTGAGGAAAAAATTAACACTGTGATGCTACCTAAGGGGAAGAGTACTTCAGTTTGCTAACAGAGATTTAGTCAGTACATTCCAGACCGTAAGAAAAATAGGAAGAGATCGTTCATGGGACCTAGTGACAAAACAGTAAATACTGCTGTGACCCAGACACAGACCCAAATCAAATACTTCTCCCAGTGGCTTCTGGTGCTGTCCCCCTCTGCTCTCCTGAGGGCTTCCAGCAAGGTCTCCATGCAGACAGGGCCAGGAGCCAGAGCTCAAGATTGTTCTAGTAGATTTAGTGAGCTCTGTGATGCAATACCCAAACAGCTCTGTACGAAAAGATGTCATTTACATTATTATTTATATATAATATCTTGAAGTAAGGAAAAAAGCACCATTTTACTTAAAATAAAAAGGCTCACACAGGCTTTGGTCCTGTCCTGAAATGACGCCAGCCTGAGTGAGAAGCGGTTTGGCCCTTGGGAAGCAGGGAGACTACGGAACACACGCTCTCACTGGGAGGAAGGGACGTCAGATGGCACCGGAGGCAAATGAAGAGACCTGGCGGGGAGGGCCTCTGAGAGCAGCACTGCGAGGCCAGTCTGGGGACAGAGATGCCTGCTTCGAGAGAACAAAAGGGGGTGTGTGGCACTGTCAGGACAAATCTCCAGGACAGGGGCGCTGGCCAACAAGGGCAGTATTCAAATGGAGATGACGCTCTGCTTGCTACACCATCGTTTCCTCTGTAGACCTGTCAACTGCAGAGGGAGGCTTCGACAAGTAGCAAAGAAGCACTTTTTTCTCCAGGAACTACAGGCCAACAAGGACAAAAAAGCTGCAGTTACTGCTCCTTCTTTAAGGGATGAAAAAGAGGCCGCCTCTTGGGTGCTACACTTCACATACGTACTTATGCCCCCAAAAAAGCAAGAGTCGATTTTCCTGCCCAGAGGCATAACTTGGCATTGACTACACCATGAAAAGCACGAGTCTGTCTATATGGGCTGGATTCCTGAACTACAGCTTAGAAGGGAAGGGCGTAGAATATCATCATTAACTGGCTCACAAGGAATAGTCATCTTAAGCGAACACATGCTAATACATTTCACAGAATGAGGGGTAAACAGCCTAGAATCCAAAACGTGAAGTTTGGAAAATCTCTCGCCAAACCTTACTATGAGAGCCTGCAACCAGTGAGAGGAGAATTGCAGAGACAGCAGCAGAGAAACAGCAAAGAGCACAAAGGATATCATTCACCAAAAGAGTTGTCCTCATTTCAGAGTCAATCAAGTCATAAGGAGACAACAGAAGTTCACATGTACAAAGAACGTAAGGGCTAAAACCAGAAGAGGGTGAGCTAATAACAAAAGCAGTTTATCCCATCTGCGATGTTTAAATACATCGACCAACCCACTAGGTCAGACGTCTTCTTATCGAGAAAGGCAGCATCTCTGAACCTGGGATGAAGGACACTTGAACATAATGCATGAGCAGAAGGAAAACATGGAGAAGCATAATTGAAATCATCAGTGGACTGCTAAGAATTTCTTGAAACTTCTGAAGAAAAAGGATCTGGGTCTGTGGCTGTATGGCTGTATAAACTGTCTTACACCTGGCTCCTCCTCAAAGAGGCCTCTGTCAGCCTGGGAGCTGCGGCTTTTGAGCAGCACAGCCCAGGCACACCCATGCCAGGCTGGGCCTTAAGGCCCAATCAGTGAGAGCTGCAGACACCATCAAGCCAGCAGTGGAACTCCCCAGAGATCAAGGCCCACAGGGCAAGATGTTTAGACAGGAGTCACCGTGAGAGACTCTGCTGCTCAGCAAACACCACAGCGAGTGTGAGGGCTCCCCGACCTGGACCAGACAGCTCTTCCTCTCCCACCGCACGTTCACAAGCAGCAGCATGGTGGGAGAGAGGCCAGGAAAGGAAGCATTGATGAGGTACAAAAAGAGGAACTGACATCTTTGGGTTTTTAAACAAAAACTCAAATCTAGGAAGTGAGAAAATAAAAAAGGGAAAGAATTCAATCTGAATCAATGGACAGAAAAATATGGCTTACTAACCCCCCCATTTTGCATACAATTTTATATGAAAAAGAAAAAAAAAAAAACACCCCAACTCATTACAATGCAGTCCAAATGTTTGCAACCAAAGATTTATGAAAATATTTCAGTTGAAATCACTTAAAAAAAACCAGAAAGCTTTCGATCAATCCTTTCTAAACAAAATTGGCAGATCTACTCTCAAACACACTTAAGAGTATTCCACACAACGTGTTCGGAATTCAGATTTATTGATTTCCATTGTATTGACTTTAAAAATGGTATGAAGCTGACTGCAAGAAAGGGAACAGGTGATTTTAAGTTAAAATTAAGCTAATGGTGAAAGTACATCACCTCTGGCTTCAGTCACCACATCGCCTTAGACTGGAAATAGGTTTTTTTTTTTTGAACAAAGTTCCAGAACTCTGAAATCCAGGGATGCTGCAGGCCTCTCCCAGCAATGTCCTTCACTTTGGGTCAGTCTCCTGGGCCAGAGGTGAAAGTGCTTTCAAAAATACTGCCACTTCCCCAGCACAGTGTCTTTGATTGCATCCACATATTGAGTTGGAACCCAGTACACCCAGTAGTAAGAGGCTTCCGTGGGGCCCAACTGAAACGCCTGGAAGGGAAAAAGGAAAACCAAGCGGTACTTCAGAGGTCGGGAGACCAAGCAGGCAGCACAACAAACATGGGGGAGGGCTCAGAAGTGAACTAATTAAAAAGGGAAGGGGAAAAAACTGTGTACATGGGGAGCATTCTCCTGTCAGAAAAAAAAAAAAGGAGGTGGGAGAGAGAAGCATAGCCGACCCTACAGCAGCGGTTCCCAAACCCAAGGGTGCATTGGAACCATCTGGAGGGCTTGTTAGAACAGATGGGTGGGCTCCACCCCTTAGAGTTTCTGATTTGAGGTCTGGGGTGGGGCCCAAGAATCTGCACTTCTAACAAGTTCCCAGGTGATGTGATACTGCTGATCCAGAGACCAGTTTGAGAACCACTGCCCTAGAAAAACTGTCACACATGCACAAAGAAACAGATACAAATGTTCAAAGCAGCACGGTCAGAAATGATAAAACCCTGGAAACAACCTACATATCCATCAGTAAGAGAACGCAAAATTAAAGGTGACGTGGCCCATTCACACGAATACTGGATCACTTTTAACAGGTATGAACTGGATCTATAGTTAATACAGACAGATCATAATGTCGAACCAAAAAAAGCAAGCTGCAGAACGATACATACCATGAGACCATTTACGAAAACTGAAAAAACACAAAACAATACTGTATCTTGTTCGTGGATATATAAGAAATAAAAGCATAGAGACGGGAAGGATCCACATGACAAATCTTGATAATGGTAACGGGGGAGGGGAAGACAAGGGGGAGGTTTCACTGCTGGTAAATTTTATTGCTTTCATTTAAAAAAAGGATTTAAAGTTACAAAATTTTTATAATTGTCATTTCTAGGTGATGGATATATGGGTTTGTTAGAGTATTCTCTATTCTTTCCTGTATTTTTAAACACTGCTCTAAAAATGAAAAAGCACAACCACCCTTTCCTAACGTGAATCACGATACACGCTCGAGCTAGTGCAATGGCATCTGCAGAAAGAAGGAGATAAATATCGTCATTAGGACAGAGGGAAAGGTGCTGCTTAATGGAGTTTAGAAAAGAGAAGGGGCTCTGAGAACCACCCTCTGCCAGCAACGACTCCAGAGAAAAAGGAGCATCTAAACTAAATACTACGGCATTAACCCGGCCACACCAATTCCTTAAAAGATGTCCACTCAACTTACTTGAAGCTGCTTGAAAACGGGTTGCAAACCCCACAGGCCAAACTGGAAAAATGAATGTGTCAAAAGGAAGTGAAGCAGCCCAGCTGAGAATATTAAAAGCCAACTTTTGAAACAGAAAAAATACCTGAGCAGGCAAAACAAATCCATCTGTAATCCTTTAAAGACTACAGAGAGACTAGGGGTGGCACGGCTGCCAGAGGGCCTGAAAGCAGCCCAGTGGCGTCGTCATCACCCCCAGGAGGACACCCCAGGAGCTCGGCAGCCCAGGGACTGCAGTCCTAACCATGCCTTGCTTCAGCACCTCCGAGCTGACTGACACCAGCAGGGCAGGAGAGGGGACAGGACTGACTTTCCCTAGAGCCAGGGGATCTGCTATCTGTCCAGAGAGAACTGCCATCGTACTTTTCCTGGGATCTTCCAACGCCTCTGCCGTCGACTCTGGAACAGCGATCCGCAGGTCAAACCACTAGATAGTCCTCCCTGGGATGGGGCCGACACAGCTACACCACCGGACACTGCAACATCCGTCTCCACAGACAGAGAACGGCAGGCAGCCCCGCGCTTACTCTATTACCGCTCAGGTCAGGTCCGTGTCACAGCAACTTTGGAGTTTAGGTAGCTAAACTGATCACTGAATTCTTGGCCTTGTTCCACACAGATGTGGGGAATGCCCCCAAAGAGTCTGTCTCATGAAAGAGCAGCCCACCCTCATCAGAGCAGACCCTGTCCTTCCCACAGGGTCCTTGGCCACTCAATGGCTGCCCATCACAGAAGGCGACTGCCTGGTGTCCTCACAAACATCAAGGCCCATGGGAGGTTTTGTTTTATACGCAAGACAAAAGTTAAAATGAAAACCCACAAGCCATTCCTCCTCTTGATATTTATTTTCCTGGTCTAAAAACAAAGTATTACAAATAAGAGGGAGGCAAAAGAGATAAAACATATCCTCTTTAAACTGGAAGGCAGGGTGCAAAATAAACAGAGCTAGGAATAGGTCATGAATTAACTTCTAAGTAGATGAAGAAAACATGAGGATCTTAAAAACCGTGCGTCTTCTGAATACCGAGTTTTCTCCTCAGATAAAAATCCATTCCCTGCCAGAGAGCAGAAGCAGGAGTCTAGTGAGAGGCTACACCACTCCGGCTACTTACCATCATGTGGTAGTCCTCATGTCCTTCGATAGGTTCACTGACCACATTTTTAATGGAGCCCATGGGCAATTTCTCAGTCCGCTCTAAGTTGAAAGGGATTACAGTGATTATTCAAAGGCCCTCCTGTTCTACTCCTGTGACTAAGCAGTCTCTCATCAGGGCTGGTGGCTTTGGGATCAACTGTAAACACAAGTCACCTATGCCCTCTAGGGATGATGGGATAGGATCTTCTATTCAGTTCCCCTAGAGCCCTGCTTGGGAGCTGGGAACTTCTCAGGAGCAAATGGGGAACAGGACTTGGCAGTGGTATATTAAAGGCCCCTGAGAGGAGAGATTTATCTTTCCTGGTGTTATTTTTTAGTCTGATGATTAATAAATACCCAGAAATTCCTTTGCACTCTTATTGCCCAAGCCCAGCACTGGCTAAGGGCTTCGGCACGTGGGAGCCAAGAAGACCAAGCACAAAAAGGCAAGAGCAAGGCCCCTGAGAGCAAGCCTTCATAAAGCCTTCACAGGAAGGGGCAATGCTTTGGGCTTTACGACCAGTTTCTATCCCAGGATCCTGCTCACTTGCCCTCCCATCCTCATTCATGACCTCCCCTGGTCCCCCACCCCTCCATACACACACACACACAAAGAATTTCTCTTGAAACATTTATAACCTCTTACGATTAACACTCGAGAGACCACTTATGACTTGGGGTCAGAAGACATTTTGCAGCAAGTTTAAGGATGGCGGGTAAGAAAGAGGAGGCAGTGAGGGAGGGAGATGATACTGCTGGAAGTGAGCCAAGCACAGCGGGATGGGGGATGACGGCAGGAGAGGTGCGGAGCGCCTGCGCAACAGGAAACCACCATCCAGGAGCAGCAGACACCTCGGGGATGGGGAGAAGTTCTCAGCAAAGAGTTAAACCAAGTTGGAAAAAACTCATTACAGCCTTTGCAGAAAGAAAAATCTGGAAAAGGTAGAATCTGAAAATAGGTAAGTTAACAAAATAGACCAAGAACTTAGAGACCTGGGTTCTACTCTAGTTGGTGATTTGAGATATTTTATTTCCGTATTGTGGGCCTCAGTCTCTGGAAAATGGGGGTGGGGAGAATGGACCTGAGGATGTTCATTCAGGTTTTGACTTTCAGTGGCTCTAACACAGTGACCCACAGGCAGGACCTGACCAGCAGCTGTCTTTAAGATGGAAACTTTTTAAAACACCAGCCATCTTGAAATGTCCAGCGATCTCACACAAAAATATGGATCTCTGGCTTCTCTTGAAAATGCAGAAGCTTTAACAATCCTGGGCTCACCTTGCTGAGTGACAGCAATCAGCTAGATTAGAGCCTCGACTCCCCTACAAACAGGGCACCTGCACTCCCGTCGCAGCTTCACGTGTTCGCCTGTTCACGTCTCCTGCCTGCAGCCTGTTCTTCTTGCTCTGTTGGGCCTGAGGGTGTCAGCACTGCCCCTACAGAGGCTTCCACAGAGCGTTCAAGCTGCGAGTAGGAGCCTGAAGTGTCCCTCAGGAGAACACCCCATCGACAAGGAGGCCAACTGGCTGCTGGGATGGTCATTCCACAGCAGCTTCTTGCCAGCAGAAAGATGAAGCCAGTGGCTAGTAGCCAACTCCCAGAACAAGTTGTCCTCCTAGGCAAGTTCTTATGACACTCAGGTGACAGGACTCCTGGGTCAGTGAAAAGAGTGCCTGAGGCACACGGGTACAGCAGTCTGGGTAGGAACGAAAATCTCAGCCTTGGCCAACCCGTGAAGACATGAGAAGTTCACGGCCATGCTTGTTAATAAGGCTGGTGAATAGGGAGGCTTTCAACAGCTCTGAAGCCCCAACACATCAAGATTCTTCTCAAGCTCTGCCTTCACGCCAAAGCAGGAAGGCGGCTGCTCCTACAAGCTGAAAGAAAACCTCAAAACACAGGGACAGGAGGTTCTCATTAGACCCTGCAGTTATGACGTGTTTCCTACACAACTTCATAACACAAAAATATTCCCTGAGGAACCAATGAGCACTTACAGACTTAGTCCTCATCCAGACCCCTCTGCATGCACCTACCCTCTCGGCCCTCAGCGTCCTCCTGGATGAGCCCTAGCCACTGCCTTCAATCAGGCCACCTAAGTGAAAGGAGTCTAGGAAGAGGCTGGCGTTCAGCAAGTTAACGCAATGATGGAGAACCAAGCAAGATCATCTGCCAAGTCACGAATAAGTGAGGATCGGACAGAGGCAGGGCAGCTCACAATTACAGAAAATTGATGATGTGACAGGCTCTGTAGAAGAGAATGATCTATTCAAGGGTTCAAAGGCTCTTGGAAAAACTGAGGAAGCCCTTAAATATTTTCCAAAACTTGCTTTAACCATGCAGTTAGAGTTGAATGTGAAATGAAAAAGATAGCAAGTTATCATAAAATTGTTAGAAAACTCAAGCATTTTTGGCATTTCAGTCTTTGTTCATTTTAAGAACCAGGAAAGGGTTGAAAATAAGAGACTTATTTTCATATTTTAGATGATAAAAATCTCACCCCCATCACCCCTCACCCAATTATTTTCCATAAAACTTTGCTCCTATTTTAAATTGAGTCACACTAAATGGCCTATCTCTGAAACCAATTAATCTCTGAAACCAATCAGATGATGGGATCTCTATACTTCTCTTTAGCATTTACCTCGAACACTGAATACCTACAGTGCTGGCCAGAAACAGGTGAATTAGGCATGTTCGGTTCCCTCCAGGAATCTAACTCATTCCTCTCAGACAAGTCAGAGAGGAATGAGTGCTCTGGGGCTCTAAACGGAGTGCTCAATGAACAGAAGCAGCAGCAATTCATTTGGAGGGTGGGGAAGATACCACGGAAGGCGTCATTAGGAGAGGACACTTAAGCAGGGCCTTGGAAGATGTTATTAATAACAAGGAATGGGATGAAGGCATTCCAGGTAAGGGCACAGCATGAGCAAAGATATGGAGCTGTGCAAGGCATGCTGGGAAGTTCAGTGAGTAATGCAGCTGAAATACGTAGGGGACAACAGGGTGAGCAGGGCAGGAAGGTAGGTCAGATGTTTAAACTTGGGCTGCATCATTGAGAACACTGGACACTATGTTTAGGCATGTTTGAACTCGGCCTTAAAGAGCCAAAGGTTTTTGAATATTGGAACCAACGAGGAAAAAACAGTACGGAAGATGGGCAGGACAGAAGAGATCATAGATGGGGCAGGGAACTAGGTTAACTTGCTTTAAAGGACCAAGTTTAAAGATGCTGGGAGTCTTAACTGGCACAACAGAGTGGCAAAGAAGGAGACACAGATAATTCTGGAGTGTAAATGACAAGACCCTGAACCATCTGGGGGAAAGGCGAGGGAGGATAGTCAGAGACACTTCCCAGCAAACAGCAAGCCTGACCCTCCATGCACAGGCAAGGGTGGGTGGGAGCAGGCAGAAGGTAACCAGACAGGGAGAGAGGGGCAGGTCCCTAGTACTAGGAAAACTGCACCCAGTACAGGAGCCAGCTCTGACCAAGAAGGGCCAGACAGGTGACATAAATGAATGAAGCTGGCTACTTATAAGATAAATGGGACAGTGAGCACTGTAGCATGGCCCATCTGGAACTACTACTCGGCTCCAGCTGATCACTGCCAGGTGAGAATGCAGGTCCAAAATGGCTAGATCTTTTGATTTTTTTCAAGAGAAGCCAAAAACATCAGATCAAGTGAAATCTCCTGATTTATACAGATTGTGGGTAAACCCACAAAACCCTTGTCTATGGAACAGACCTGGCCCTCAGGTCACACGTTTGGGACCTCTGGTTTTGGGTGCAACTGAAGAGGCAATGTTTGATGGCCCTGAGATCAGAGGGTTGAAAGAATGAGAGAAAACCGTTCAAACAGAAGGGAAGCATCTAAAATCAAAATCAAAAGCCAGGAGCAAGCAAAGCACAGCGGAGAGAGATTTCCGAGTGAAGAGTAGAATCACACCCAAGACGGGGCTGCGGGGTGCCAGAGGCAGGAGCCGGGAAGACGCTGAGGGCAGTGACGTACCTTTAGTGCCAATCCACAGCTGGTCTTGTTCTAGCTTAAAGGTGAGTCTCACTTTCCCTCCGGACTTATTGTACATGCCGGACAAGGGTACCGTTGGCAGGCGCTCCTGGAGGCACAAGAGCATGGTAAGAGAGAGCAGGACCAGAAACAAAGTAAGACAGAAAAAGGAGAAGGGACAGGATGCAAGGACGTGCTCACAGGAACCTCAGGAAGTTAGAGGGCAGGCTGGCTTGATTTCAGACCGCTCACAGAGGACTCTGGCTTACCTGGGCACCCTTAACAGATGGCATCACATCTTCGGGTTTTCCTTTATCCAAGACTTTCCTGTGTTGCTATAACGTAAGTCAGGAGAGAGAATTAAATGAAACAGTTGACTGCATTTTAGTCATGTTACTACTTCTCTGAAAAAGAGGACGAAGAAAGCCTTAAGGTGCTGGTTCAAAAGCTTTCACTGTCTACAGATTATGGGTCCTTTGATAGGACGGGGTGGTGCTATCCAGCAGAAATTGCCATGATGATGGAATGTTCTGTATGCGTGCTGTCCAAAACAGCAGCTGTGAGCCACATACTAAATGTGGCTAGTATGACTGAGGAAATGAATTCTCAATTTTATTGAATTTTAATCAGCCACATGTGGCTACTGTATTAGAAGTCAAAGCTCTAGAGCAAATAGGATTTCCAGATTGCTAATTCAAATAAACTCCACTCCCCCGCCACCCCAAATCACCACTGAAAACATTAATCCAACAACAAGCTAAAGACAGCCACAAAGGGTGCTGTTCTCCTGGCAGGTACAAAATGACAGCCATTTCTGTCAACTTAAACTCCCAAAGCAACATATAACAAGCTGGTGATCAGCCTAACTGCGTAGAAGGGCACTTCTTCAGCAAATGCAGACTCAGCCTAATGCCAAAGTCTTCCCCACTGCCCCACCCTCAACCCCAGCTAAACAGAAAGCTTGAAGAACCACATTTCCAAAGAGAAATGCTGATGACTCTATAGCCTGACATTAACAAGCCTTTAACCCCACCCTCAGCCCAGGAGTTTGAGGCAGCTCATTAAAGGTTCTAACTAGGCTCCCGGCCCCCTTAAACTCAGTCTGGCCCAAATGCCTGAGTCTTATTTCCTCTCCATCTGTGGCTTTACAGGCATAGTCACTGTTTGATAAAGCTAGAACTATGGGGCAGTGAGTGGGTAGAAGGTAAAAATTTAATCAACTTTAAGAACCAGGTGGCCATGAGGCAGCTCAAATCCTCACTAGCATCGCAGAAACCCTCTGGTAGGAATAAACTCAATACTGCTGGATTGCTAGCAAAGGGTCACCCTATATATCAGCCCCCAGATTCCTAAAGAAGCTGACAGAAAGCCAGGAAAATGGATCCCTCTCATTAGGCCATGTTATACCTCATCTCTGGCATCAAAGAATCAAAGCATCACCGATTAGAAGCTTAATTGCACTCATACCTCACAAGTACCTTTTGAAGAATTTTCCCTCCACTGTGAGAAGAGTTCTAAGCCTGTTAAGCTATCATTAGTAACTCAAAACCTGTATTTAAGAGGCATGTTATGCTCCAAGGGTGTGACCAGTGGGAATGCTCACTCACGTCTGACATGCTCATATTTAATGATTTCATACATGTGGCAGAGGAAGACAGGAAAGTGGCGATGAACTCAAGTGGTTACAAGACAGTATGACCCCATATTTGGGGGTGAAAGTGTCCAAATAAACACCTTTTAGATGTTAATACAGTGTTATAACCCCTTATTTGAGACCCTATGGACAGATGTTTTGGACTTTTATAAACTCCAAAAGTTTTAGGGATTTTATAAATCTAATATAATTTTAAAATACATAATATCCTCCGTGCGGTCTGGGGCAGCACCTTGTCACCAAACATGTTAATATATCTACAGCAAAACATGAATGTTCACACTAAATCTGGTCAGTTTTTGCTGCCAAATTTATAAAAACACTTTTGGTTTTCAAACTCTTTTCGGGTTTTGAAGCACACATAAGGGATAATGGACCTGTAATACACACTTGTGTCCTTCTCACACTGTTGGCCATATGCCTCGGTGCCTATGGTCACTAAAACCAATGTTGGTTCAAGTTGGTCTACTCTACTCAGGACAGGGTAAGTTGAGAATACCTATTTTCCTGGAACACTACTAAGAGTGGCCAGGAGGCTCGATAACAATGAGGAGGGTTTGCTAGGTGACAAGATGGCAAGTAATGGTTCTTCCAACCAGTGCCTTCTACCATGAAATACTCTCATTCTTCCCTAATTACAAAAAGAATTTTAACGGCTACAATGAGCACAAGACAAGCCTGGATCTCTTCCACCAAAAACGAGCAACAGAGAATGTGAAAAATCAGGCCCTCATTCTATGGACCAGAAGGAGGAAAAAAAAAAAAAAAATCAGAGTAGTTATCTTCCTAGTCAGCTTTATTCGGCTTCCTGAAACAGTCAGTTTTAGAAGAACCTCTGAAAGCTATTGATTTCCATGCCTATCCAGAAATGGGCTTGTTGACTTGGGGGAAGCCACAAACCAAAAGACAAATAAATGTAAGCACTTGTACAAAATGAGGGGTTAATTCTAGTAGTGGTATTTTTCTGCGGCACTAACAGGAGAGAAACCCACATCTGATCCCTTTCAATACCTCATCTGAAGCCTCCCTTTACAATGGCCTTATCCTACAGCAGATAGACTTGAGACACACTGACCCGCCAGATGAGACAAAGTTGCAAATCTCAGGTAGTTGTCACCTCCACTCAACAGCAAGCCGCACCCACTGCTGCCATAAATTTCCATCATGGGCCCTGTCCGAAAAGGAGCTTATTCTAGGGAGAATATAACCGGCCTAGGCTCGAGAGGACAAAGCCTCAACCTTCCCAGGACTAACAATCACACGACAGACTCACTTTCTGCCTGCAGAGAGGCTCCTTCTTGCTCTCTTCCGCCTTCGCATCCTGCTGGGCAGCATCTTTGGGCGTGTTGACCGCTAAAACGTCATTTATCGTGGAGCCAACAACCATGATCTTGGCCCCGCTGGTCACTTTTATTTCTCTCAACGTCTTATCCTCAGGGACGAGTCCTTTATACATGACTTTCTGCATGGCAGGCGGGAGACCTTGGTAAAAGGGAGAAGACAGCGAAAGGAAGGAATGAAAAATGTACCTGGACCACTGCCCTTGGGCACCAGACCTGAAAGTGAATATTGCTCTACTGTCTATTACTCTGGGGAACTTGGACAATTCACAACCTCTCTGAGCCACACTTTCCAGAACTTTATAACAGTGATAACAGTGGTTACTTCTGTATGGACTTGTTTTAAGGATTAAGAGATGAGAAAAACACAGACTATTTAGTGCAGCACCTGCTATTCAGTAATTTTGCAATAAATATTCGCTACCATTCATTCCAAGTTGTTCCTCAATCATGCTATCACTCAAACATTAAGTCAGAGTCCACAGGCCTCAGGGATACAAACACCACGAGAACAAAATTCCTGTTTTTATGAGCTTACGGGCTACATGAAGAAAGCTTAAAAAAATCATTTCTGATGGCAGAATGCTGTAAACGAGACAAAACTAATATGAGCATCTGCCAACCAGCCAGCATGATAGTCAACAGCAGTGTTTCCTAAACTTCCCTTACCAGAGTGACCTAAGATATTTGCTAAAAATAAAGTCCTGGCCACATTCCATACTTACTGAATCAAAATCTCCACGGGGAAGAGCCTAGGAGCTGTAAATTTACCAAGTGCCTTAGGTGATTTTTACTAGAGATGTTTGGGCAACACTAGTTAGAAGCATGGGCCTAAGAGTCAGACCACGGCCTGAATCCCAGCTCAGCCACTTACTAGCTGTAGGATCTTGGATCTCATTTTCCCCATCTGAATGATGGGCATTCTAGTACTTAACTTCGGAGGGCTGTTACGAACATTGAGGGAGCTGAGGCAAGGACAGCGGCCAGCGCAGTGCGTGGCACAGTGTAAACACTAGGGATCGGCAGGCGGGGTGGGAAAGGCTGGCTGTGGCTGTCAGTGCACGGGGATTACCTGTAATCGAGTGAATCTTCTGCTTTAGCTCGGAGCCTGTGCTGTCCAGGGGGAACTTCACGTCGTGCTTAGTCTTGTTCCAGATGATCTTCAGGTCCACCAGCTCCCTCCCCGCGCCGCCGCCCGCGTCTTCGCCGTTGCTGACCGAGGCCTGGGCCGCGGGGTCCCCAGGGGGCTGGGCCGGGGCCGGCTGCAGGCTGCCTCGCGCGGCGCAGGAGTCTTCGGTCGCCGCCCCCGCCGCGGCTTCGGCCTCCATGCAGTTGAGGGGCCGCGCGGGCTCCTCGGCCGCCACCGTCTCGGCCTCCGTGTCCATGCCAGGTTCCTCCATGCCTGCAGGGGGGTTAGGGGGTGGGCGCTCGCCGCGGGCTGGGCCTGGGACCGGCCTCTGCCCGGACGCCGCCGGACCACCGCTGCCCGGCCAGGCTACTCCTCCCTGGGCCAGGCCGCATCCCCCACGGAGCGCCCGATTCCCCTCGGCCCAACCCGGGCGCCCGCCACCCACGCCACACTCACCATCCGGGGCTCCGGCCGCCGCCATGATGATTGTGTACAACACCCACCGCTCCCGCAGAGGCCGCCGGGAAAAGGCGAGCTGGCTGAGATTGGCCCCCGCAGCAGCCCCTAATCTCGCACAGCCTGGCCGGAAACAGGTGGAGGTCTCTATGGAGACCCGCCTCCTCCGCTTCCCCGGCCCGGCCCCTGCCACGCTTTAGCTTTCAGGAGCCGGGGCGGGGGGCGGGCCGGGAAAATCGCCCGCTCGACGGGGTCTGCCCCCTAGAGGCCGAGCGGGGCTGCAGCCGTGCAGGGGGGCGTGAGCTTGCGGGCCAGGAGCCCTGCGCCTTTAAGGGGCGGGGTCGCGCCCGCTGTGGCGGAAGCGGATTGGCTGGGAGGAGTCCCCGGAAGTGATGCGTGGGGAGGCCCACGTGTGCGATTCTACCCCACATGGCGGTGCTTCTGAAGAGGCTGCTGCATCCGGGAAGGCCACTGGCGGCCTTAGGCCGCCCCGTAGGACGGCGTGAGGCCAGCCTGGGCATTGATCCTGGGGCTGCGGTGCGAGTGCGCTTCGCCCCCAGCCCCACAGGTAATCTTGGCGGACGTGACGCTGCACGCCGAGACCCACCATCCCTTGCCCGCCCCCCGAAGGTTCCCAAACGAATCCCTTCCGGTGGAGTCAGACTGTGCGGGGAGGGCGACCCCGTTTTACAGAGGCAGAAACAGGTCCACGATCGGAGACTATTCGCATTGCCAGGAGTTTCTTTGTATTTATTGTACTGTAACATCTTTTTTGGTGTGTTTTTTTTCATGTAGTCAATAAATGTGTATTGAGTACAAACTGCCAGGTACTGTACTAGGCGCTGGGATACAGTGGTCATGGAGAAAGTAGACACCCCCCCCCCCCCCGCTCTCAAGAAGGCTACCCTGTAGTGGCGGCGACAAACACATAAAAATAACTGTCATTTTAGAGAATCACGTGTGCCATGCGGCAAATGAAGCAGAGTAGGGGACTAGGGATTAGATAGGATGCTCAAGAAGGCCTTGCCGAGGAGGTGATATTTGAGCTGAGAACCAAATGATAAGGAGGAGCTAGATATGTAATGCTGTTGCCAATTCAACTCTCTCCCCAACCGAGAGAGACCCAAGGAAGGGTTTCTTGCCCTTCCTCTTGGAGTTCTTCCTCTGTTCGGTGTTGCAACTTTGAAAGGAGACCGAAGCTGACTGAAGCCTATAGGAGAAACCTTCTGGGCAGAGGGAATTGCAGATACAAAGGCCCTGTGGTTAGTGCTGAAGCTTAGCAAGGCAGAGAGTGAGAAAGGAATCCATTGTATAACCTAGTGGAGATCTTGTAAGGGCCTCCCCACCAGTTCCCAAAGTTCTTTTCTCACTGAGGCTACCTTCTGCCCTCTCTACACCCAGCATGCGTCTCATTCTGAACTCCAGGGTCAGCATGTAAGGCTGTCTTTGTGGCAAGATCTCAGCTGCACGGAGTGACAGGATCTTTCTTGGCAGGCAGTATAGTGTAGAGCAAGCTTCTCAAACCATCCATGATGAAAGGATTGGTTTCTAATTTCTAATCGATTGTGGATCAATACTTTTATAAAATCAAAATAAATGAATTACTAGAAAAGTGAAAATCTTAGCCTACAAAATATGAGCCTATTTTTTAAATTAGATTCAACAGATATAAAATTATTCTGTCAAATTGCTACAAGTTTCTAAACACTCTCAATTTCTCTACTTAGTTGGTTGTGAACTGGCAATAGTTTGCAGACCAGCGCTGGTTTGGCTGCCAAGGCCTGGGATTGTCCGGGTCCAAATTTCTGGTTTTGCCACTTCCTAGCTGTTTGACTTGGGCAAATTACTCAACCTCTCTGAGCCTCTGAGTTTTACTGTCTGTCTAACAAGGCTAGTAATAGTATCTACCTCATGGATTTAAGCTAATGCAGCTGAGGCACTTAGCAAGGTCTGGGACTCACACAGAAAGCACTTAATAAACAGTAGCCTCAGTTATGATGATTATAATTATTGTTTCATTGCTGATTTGCAGGAAAAGCCCCCATGGGAAAGACAGACAAATTAAAAGAATTATCAAGTGACATAGGTCATTACAGTAACTAAAATTAATTGAAGGGTTTATCTGATCAGCTTTTAGGCCTCACAGCATCGCTGTAAGGAAGGTTTCTACTTTGAATTTTCAATCTCTCTAATAGATGAGGAAATGGAAGCTCAAAAGTTAAGTAGAGTCCTCAAGGAGTAGCAACCAGTAAATGGTGGAGACAGAATTTGAATCCAGGTCTATTTGATGTAAGAGGTCTTGCCTTTCAACAACTGAACCGCTTGTCTTCTATCTTGGGGACCACTAGTTTTGTGGTGGCCTTGCAATAACTAGCTGAAGCTCACACACATAATCAGTGTTGAACTGGAGTTTCCCAGAGGAGCTTTTCCTATCTCATGCTGCCTCCTGGACCTGCAGATGCAGAAGAGCTCGTTGTGGAGCTGGGGCCGTGGGCTGGACCAGAGAAGGTAGGGTAAGGGAGAAATGACAGTCCTGGGAAAACTGGTCATTGAGTGATGACAAAGTAGAATCTTATGCGTTTAGACTTGGATGAAGTGGAGTCAAATATTACTTTTGGTTCGTATTTAAAGCCAGCACTTGAAGTGAAAATCTCGGGTAGACAAAACTCAAAATGTATGATGTGGAAAGTCGTAACAGTGCATAGAGGGTATATGCAAAATGTAATTTCACAGTATTTTTAGTTTGTGATTATTTTTGCCCAAGCACATCAGTAATTTGCATAAGTTAAGTGCACGTGTGATATGGCTTCAATGAATAATCCTCTGCTTCTCCTCATTTGGGTGAAACTTGGCCTTGAGGCAAATCTCAAAGTAGAATAACAGGTGCACTTGGGGGGAGTTGGAGCTTTTTTACAAAATGACAGGCTCCACGACTTGGGTGGGCCTCTATTTGCGGGATGAGGGGCTAAAGGAGTCGACTACCCCAGTCCTCTTCTGTGGCAGTCTGACTGTCTGGGTGCTGGCTGGAGAAATGGGGTGGGGTGCCTGTTTCTTGGGCTTTGAAATTTGTTGGGACGTTCTGTCGCAAGCAGAGCTTCCTTGCCCTTGGCTGAGGCCTGTCAGCTCATCTTCCCTGTCTTGTCTGAGCTGTTCTCTTCTTCTGCCAGGCTTCTTGCACCTGGGCGGCCTCCGCACTGCCTTGTACAACTACATCTTTGCCAAGAAGCACCAAGGGAGCTTCATCTTGAGGCTGGAGGACACGGATCAGACCCGCCTTGTGCCTGGGGCAGCAGAGAATATTGAGGACATGCTGGAGTGGGCAGGTGAGGCTGGCAGAGAAAGGACCCTTCTCCAAGAAGGGAACAAGGAGCAGGGCCAGGAGCCTGTAGGTCTTCCCACAGGGCCCAGGATGGAGAGTGAGGAGTTCCCGGAGAAATGGGTACATTCGTGCTGCCTGGGGTGCGAGGTACCACCCAAAAAGATGCTGCAGCTCTCTGAAGAAGAGCGCCAAGGCTGTTTTGAGCTTCCTGTTCTTATCTCAGAATCTCAATTCCCACTGGGAGCGGGCGGGAAGCACAGGCCAGGTGTGAGATGGAACTGGAGCGCTCGGTTTATGGTGAGCAAGAGAAAGCTCCCCGTGTTCCCATGTGGGAATGCTGGCCCAGCTTGTCAAATCTTCTGATTTCCAAGAGGAGCCAGAACTCCAGGTGCTTTGTTGTTGTTTTTTAATGAATACTTCCCATTTTTAAATCTAAGCTCCAGTTTGTTTTTTTAACCACATTGTATGAGCCAAATAAAACGTGTGCAGCCTTTGAAGTCAGTCTTCTCGTGGGAAGTTTAATCCAGAGGAGAGCTAAGCTTGGGGAGCTGAAGGCGGGATGTGTTTGTGTTCCCTGGTCAATAGTTGCCTCCCTCTCAGGACAGGTAGGGCTAGTTAAACTCCCCAAGGAAACATACCAAAAATATCAAGACTGTCTTGAGACATGTATTCTAATCTCAGGTAAATTATTAATGAGACTCTGGGTTCTTAAGGGCAGAAACCCATTTCACTTCTACCTTCTGTTGTAGAAGGTTATAGCAGATACTTAGTCGACGTTAGTTGAATAAAGGAATTCATTCATCCAGATCACTTACTGTGATCCAGGTGGTGTTCCAGCATTGAGCAAAGACCCTGTGCTCAGTAAGAGGGGAAGACAGGTAAACAGATTAATTCATTCTTACTGTGCTATTGAGTGTTGATAAGTGCTGTGGAGAAATGAGTAACAGATTAGGGGGTGCTCTTTTAGATAGGGTGGTCTTCTCTGAGGAGGTGACATTAGAGCAGAGACTTGCACGAAGTGAAGACCAGCCTCACGGTTACCTAGGGGAAGAATGTTCAAAGCAGAGGGAATAGCAGGTGCAAAGGCCCTGTGGAAGCTACGTGCTGGGCGTATTAGAGGAGCAGCAGGGAGGCCAGTGTGGCCCAAGCGCAGTGAGCAAAGCAGAATAACTGGAGATATGAGGATGGAGAGGCCGGCAGGAGCCAAATTGTGAAATGCCATGCAGGCCATGATGAGAACTTCAATTTCACGGCACATCTGCTACCCGTCAGGCACTGTGCTAGGCATGAGGGGTCCGCTGGTGCATAAGTCCCGCCCTCCTGGAGCGCCCGCTGCAGCACGATGGTGTGAGTGAGGCCTGCAGCCCCTCGGCAGGGCTCCCCCGCCCCAGCATTTTGGTGAGGCGAGGGGCAGATATCCAGGCATCCCCGGGTGGCTCACCTCTGGAGCTTCTTGCTTTGGGAGTCTTTTTTTTCCAATTGACATGTAATTCACGTAATATGAAATTTGCTATTTCAAAGTGTACAATTCAGTGGTTTTTAGTATATTCGCTATATTGTGCAGCCATCACCAATATCTAATTCCAGAACATTTCCATCACCCCAAAATGAAACCCATACTTATTAGCAGTTAGTCCCTATTCCTCCTTCCCTCCAGCCCCTGGCAACCACTAATCTTTCTATCTCTGTGGTTTACCCATTCTGGACATTTCATAGAAATGGAGTCGTACACTATGTGGCCTTCCATGACTGGCTTTTACTTAGCATGAGGTTCATGTGTGTTGTAGTGTGAATCAGTATTTCATTCCTTTTTATGACCAACTGATATTCATCGTATGGAAATACCCCATTTTGTTTATCCATTCATCAGTGGATGGGCATTTGGATTGTTTCTGCTTTTTGGCTATTATGAATAAAACTGCTATGAACATTTACATAGTAGTTTTTATGTGAACATATGTTTTCAGTTCTCCTAGTGAAGTCACTCTTAAACCCTGGGGCATTCCACACGCTTAACATGTTAAGTTAGATCAGGAAGAGACCCCTAAATTTACCTAACCAACCCTCTTTTCTGACAAATGAAGAAACAGGCCTGCTGGGAGAGAGAGCCAAATAATACTCATAATAATCAGAGGCAGAACTTTCTGAGCCTTAGCACGTGGCAGGCAATACACGAAGCACTCTACCTGGGTCCTCGTGTTCTAGCCTTGTGACCCTCCGGAGAAAACGACTGTCTGTTTCCTTCTTGTATCAGTGAGGAAAAGAGGCTCAGAAAGGCGGCTCGCTCAAGGCCTCAGAGCTGGCCTGTCCAAACCCAGGCCCATCCACCTCCAGTCTATGTTAACGTCAGGTGTAGCAGGGTTACCTGTGTCCTGATCTTCCTAATTCATTTGAAAGCTATTTGAGGGCAGAAATGCCATCGTCCAGCTCTTCTCTGTCTCTCTGCCCTGTCTTAGAAGTATTTATAGTTAAATCTATCTTTGGGGCCCACCTGGTGGTGTGGTGGTTAAGTTCATCCGCTCCGCTTTGGTGGCCCGGGGTTCACAGGTTCGGATCCTGGGCACAGACCTACACACCACTCATCCAGCCATTCTGTGGCGGCATCCCACATAGAAAATAGAGGAAGATTGGCACAGATGTTAGCTCAGGGACAATCTTCCTCACCAAAAAAAAAAATCTATGTGACTTGAGGAAGCTGGATCTTGGGTTGGGGGTTTGGCTTATAACAGATCACATTTAATCCACAGCATATGTTGCAGCTACTGGGCTTTGTAAGCACTGGTGCATTTAGTTCTCACAGTCACTGCACGGTAGACTGTCAGTTCCACTTTTCAGAGAAGGAAACTGAGGCTCAGAAAGGCTAAGGACCAGGGGCTGGCCCAGTGGCATAGCGGTTAAGTTCATGTGCTCCGTTTCAGTGGCCCCGGGTTTGCAGGTTCGGATCCTGGGCTCAGACTGACACAGCGCTTATCAAGCCATGCTGTGGCAGCATCCCATATAAAGTAGAGAAAGATGGGCATGGATGTTAGTTCAGGGCCAGTCTTCCTCAGCAAAAAGAGGAAGATTGGGATCAGATGTTAGCTCAGGGATAATCTGCACCAAAAAGAAAAAAGAAAGGCTAAGGAACAAAAGAGGCAGTACAATGAGTGGTTAAGAGCATGGACTCTGGCACCAGCTAGCCAGGGTTTGCATCTAGTTGTGCCCCTTATCCTTGGCCAGGTGGCATAGCAAAGCCCCTCTGTGCTTCAGTGTTCTCCTTACTGAATGGGGGTAGTAATGGCACCTACCAGGTAGGGTGATCCCAAAGCTTAACAGAGATCACAAAACATAAAAGCAGCCTTGCAGGTGCTTGGCACTCTAGCGCTCACACAGCTTCCAGAACCCTTGTCATAGCTCATCAGCAGCAGACCAGGAGTCCAGCCAGGACCTGACGGGTTGTGCCCTGAACCACGCTTCTTTGTCCTGAGTCAGCTGTTCCAGGCCTGGGCTAGTTTCTCCCTCCCCGGGGAAAGGATGGACGGAGAGGATGCTCAGTTGAGGTCGTGGACTGTGGAGCTGGTATACCCCTGTCCAACTCCTTATCCACGAGGCTGCCTGACCTTGAGCACTTCATCTCTCTATGCTTTAACGTGTCATCTGTAAAAGGGAAATTGTAATAGTACCAACCTCGTGCATTTTGGGGAGGATTAAAAGTTTTACTATATGTGTCAAGTGCTTAGATCAGTGCCTGGGAATGAGTGCTGTGTGCACCTTAGTTATTGTTCTTTGGTGATCATTCTTTCTGTGCTCCAGGCATTCCCCCTGATGAGAGCCCCCGCCGGGGAGGTCCTGCCGGGCCCTACCTGCAGTCTCAGCGACTTGAGCTGTACGCCCAGGCCACACAAGCTCTGCTGAAGGCCGGCGCTGCTTACCCCTGTTTCTGCTCACCACAGCGGCTGGAGCTGCTCAAGAGGGAGGCCCTGAGGAACCACCAGACGCCCCGGTGAGAGCCCCCGCCTGTCACGGTGCCTCCCCAAAGTCGGGTGTGTTCGTTACCTATTGCTGCATGACAGATGACCCCCAAATTTTTATTGTCTCACGGTTTCTCTGGGTCAGGAGTCTGGGCACAGCTTGGCTGGGTCCTTTGGCTCAGGGTTTCTCAAAGCTACAATCAAGGTCTTGGTCAGGCTTGCATTTATCTCAATGCTTGACTCGCAGAGGACCTGCTTCCATCTTCTCTCACTAGGCTGTTGGCAGACCTCAGGGCCTCCCTGGCTGTTGCCTGGAGATGTCACTTCCTTGCCATGTGGCCTCTCCGTAGGGCAGCTCACAACTTGGCAGCTGGCTTTCCCAAGAGTGAGCCGAGGAGAAAGCGAGAGAGAGAGTGAGACTCTAGCGTGGAAGCTTGAGTCTTTTGGTAACCTCCTCGAGGAAATGACATCGCTCATCATCACTTTGGTTGTACGTACTCTGTTCATTAAAAGGAAGTCATCAGGTCCAGCCCACACTTCAGGGGAGGGGATGACATAGGGTAGAAACACCAGGAGGCAAGGATCACTGGGGCCATGTCAGAGCTGCCTACCGCACTGGGTCTCAGGCAGTAACGTGGAAAGTAATTTTAATTTGTTAATTTAATTTGTTGTTTTGAATAAGGAAAATTTTCTCATGTCCAGAGAGATATATATGCAAAGATCTCTCCCACTCCTGACTCTGGCTACTCTATCCCTCTCCAGAGACAGCTGGTGTTAGAATTTTCTATATGTCTCCTCCAGGGACATTCAGTGTGTATACTGATAAATGCATATTGTTTCTCTTCTTCCTCATTCAAATGGTAGCACAGTATACTTATTATGCAACTTACATTCCCACTTACTGTCTTGAGGATCAGTCTGTATCATATAGCAGTCCATAAGTTTTTCTAATGCTTGTATAAGATTCCATTGTATTGGTAAACCATCATTTACTTAATCAGTTCCTTACTAATGACCCTTTATGCAATTTCTAATTTTTTGTTATAAAAAAAGAGCTATGGGGCCGGCCCGGTGGCGCAGCAGTTAGGTGCACTCTCTCTGCTTTGGTGGCCCGGGGTTTGCAGGTTCAGATCCCAGGCACGCACTGACACACCGCTTGTTAAGCCTTACTGTGGTGGCATCCCATGTAGGGTGGAGGAGGATAGGCATGAATGTTTGCTCAGGGCTGATCTTCCTCACAAAAAAAAAAAAAAAAAAAAGAGCTGTGGTGAATAATGTTGACATACGTCATTTTGCATTTGTGCAGTGTGTTCGTCGGAGACCTTCCTAGACGTGGAATTGTAGGGTCAGTTCACAGATTTGATGGATACCATCTGTGGCCCTTTACTAGCTTACACTCCCATTGGCAGTGGCATCATTTAAGTTCCAGTGAACTATTTGGACAAGGGCTCAGATGTTTGTCCAAGGTCATGATGTTCATGGCAGCATTGCTTTTTTATTATAAACAGTCTACTTATCTATTGACAGAAGGTTATTTTTTAAAATGACACTCAAGCCCTATGATGGAATCCATGCAGCCATTTACTGACTGGACACTCAGCTGTGTGTCATGTACTACACTTACAAGTGTTACTTTTGTATATGTTAGGACGCTTATGGGAGCAAGTAACAGAATACACTGTTTAAAAGGGACAAACCAGAGCTTCTCATCCTTTAACGTGCAGACAGATCACCGGGGATCAGTTAACATGCAGATCCTGATTCAGCAGGTCTGGGGGGGACCTGAGATGCTGCATTTCTGACAAATCCCAGGTGAGGCTGATGCTGGGGGTCCACAGACCACACTTTGAGTAGCCAGGGCATAAACCACACAGACAATTATCTTCTCATTCTGCAGAAGTCTCTGGGGTAAAACCAGCAGCTTTGAGATGTCCAGGCTCTGTTTTGGCCTCTCTCTGCCTCCCTTGTCCCCTCCACTTCACCCCTGTCAGTTGTAAGTGGCTGCAGCAGCCCCAAGCATTCTCTGCTCACAGAACAACATCTGAGGAGCACAGAAGGGGGAAGGTGGGAAATAAAAAAAGGGATTTTCCTCTTGTGGCTCACTCTGTCACTTGGAGAGAAAATCTTTCGCAGAACCTTAACCCTCCCCTACCCCCAAGCATACTTTTCTTTGAGTCTCAGTGACTAGAATGGTCCTACCTGGACTGGTCACCAGCAGAGGGGAATAGGATTGTGTAATTGGCTGTACCAATCATGATTCAACCTCTCGGAGTAGGCATTTTGTCATTTCCTCATTAGCAGGAAGGGGGACAGGCTGGTAGGTGGGCACACATAAGTATCCGCCACACTCTGTTATCCCACTTAGTTCTGCCACACAACAGCCTTCTCATTATTCCCGTTCAAGGTTCAAGAAACAGAGAGGTAAATGACTTTCCTATGGTCACACAGCCATCGGAGGCAAAGGTAGGATTATGCCCATCACTGGTACTCTTGGCTCCTATGCTGCTCTGCTTCCCAACAGGTATGACAATCGGTGCCGGAACCTGAGCCCAGGGCAGGTGGCCCAGAAGCTGGCCAAGGACCCCAAGCCTGCTATCCGCTTCCGCCTGGACGAGGAGGCACCGGCCTTCCAGGACCTGGTATACGGCTGGAGTCGGCATGATGTGGCCAGCGTGGAGGGGGACCCGGTCATCCTGAAGAGCGATGGCTTCCCCACGTACCACTTGGCCTGCGTGGTGGACGACCACCACATGGGCATCAGCCACGTGCTGCGGGGCTCGGAGTGGCTGGTCTCCACTTCCAAGCACCTGCTTCTCTACCGGGCCCTGGGCTGGCCACCGCCTCACTTCGCCCACCTGCCCCTGCTGCTTAACAAGGATGGCAGCAAGCTGTCCAAGAGGCAAGGGGACATCTTCCTGGAGCATTTTGCTGCTGCCGGCTTCCTGCCGGATGCCCTGCTTGACATCATCACCAACTGTGGCTCGGGGTTTGCAGGTACTTACTCACCTGAGAGGTCATGGTGGGACCATAGCAGTGAGGAGCTGGGACGTTGGTTCAGGCCCCTCAGGCTTCAGTCCCAGCTCTGCCACCCACCAGCTGCATGAACTTGCACAAGCTCATTCTTTTATTCAACAAATGTCTATTGAACCAGACACTGTATTAAGAGCTGGGGCTACGACAGTGAACAAGATATTTGTAATCCTTGCCCTCCAGGAGCTTATCGTTGCTGAGCCTCAATTGCATCATATGCAAAATGGGGATAAGTATCTACCTCAAGGTTAAGTTGGGATCCACTGAGCTCATGGGTCTGAGGCACCCAGCACAGTATCTGCCACACGATAAGCATAAAACTTACAGATCCTCTGAGTATACAACTGTAGTGCTGCTGCTCTGGCGAGTGTGTGTCCAGCAGTATTACCAGGATTGCCATGACCCTAGTTTATTCCAGGCTGAGCCCTTATCTTTGGCCCAAGACTTAGAGGCCAAATCTTAAAGAAGCACTAAATAGGATGACCTCTTTGTGGAAGGGATTTCTGAAAATGTGGCAATAATAGTTTTCTTACTGTTTATTCTGCTCTTATTTAATCCTTAAAATATCCTTGAAAGGTAGATATTTATTATCCCCACTGTTTGTAAGGGTTCAGAGGCTCAGAGGCTCAGAGAGGTTGAGTAACTTGCTAGAGTCACACAGCGAGTATGGGACATGGCAGAGGCTCACTGTAGGCCTATGCCTGACCAGGATGCCCACTGACTGCATGGGACAGAGCTGCTACTCAGGAGAAGCAGCTCCCAGCACAGTGGTTCTCAACTCTGGCTGCACTTTGGAACCCCCCAGGAAGCTTGAAAAACACACTAATGCTCAGACCCCATCCAAAACCAGTCAAATCAGAATCTCTGGGATACAACCAGCCAGGGAGTGTGCTATTCTTGCAGCTCACGTCTTTGAGGGCAGTGAAGTTGGGTTTAGCCTGATTGTTTTCAAACTTCTTTTCCCTTAGTGATAGAAGCCTTTCCGCCAATGAAAGCTCATTTGAGCCCTTGTTATATAACAGCTAGAAGCTGAATCCCTTTGGTTCAAGTGGAATGGGGAGTCCAGAGTGTGCTCACTCAGCCTCCCTTGTGATTCAGAATGGAAGGAGGGGCAGAGGAAGGGAGCTGAGCCGCTGAGCTTCCCTCACTTGCAGAGAACCAGATGGGCAGGACCTTGTCAGAGCTGATAACACAGTTTGACCTGACCCGGATCACCTGCCACTCAGCCCTGCTGGACCTGGAGAAGCTCCCAGAATTCAACAGGTGAGTGGGAACCGGAGAGACCTGGGTAGAAAAGGGCTTTCTTGCTGATGACAGGTCCCCATGGCAGAGAGTCTAGTGGGCCCTGGAGTCACACACACCTGATTCTGACTAATGCTGTGTGACCATAGGTAAGTCACCTAACCTCTTCAAGCCTGTTTCCTCTTCTCTCAAATGGGGCTAATAACAGTACCCACCATGTGCAGTTGTTGTTAAGAGTTAAATGTTGCATCAAAGTATTTCGCACAGCCCCGGGCACATGGAAAGTGCTCAGTAAATGGTAGCTATTGTTTTTATCATTACCATGATTCCTGGCCACCCCTTGCAAGGATTCTGTTAACAGCCAAAGCCTGGAGGGGAACATCTTCACTTCAGAATCACCCTCTTCCCCCACCCAGCCAACACAGTGAGTGAGCACTGTCTCATGGCATCTACCTTATATTGCAAGTAGTTCTTCACTCTGAAACCTCCAAATGCAGTTATAGTTCCGATCACTGTTGATGTGTCTCGGTCAAAGGGCATTAGTGGTAAAGCCTGCGGACGGGTTTGTACTTGGGGGGCAAGGGACTCATGGATGCCTTCTCTTGAGTGCTGGTTTGGGGACAGGCTCTCCTCGGTCCTTTACTTGCACGAGTCCTGGGAATTCACATCGACTGCAGGTGTTTTAAGGATATTACTTCATTTACTTCCCCCATCAGACCTGTGAGGTCAGTTGTGTGATTTTGCCCTATTTTACACATGAGGAAACCAAGATGTAGAGATGTTAAGTAGCCCCAGGTCACAGAGTCAACGGTGGGCATCTCTTGAATGGGGCATTCAAGAGCGAGTGCAGCATACACGGTGAATGCAAGTTGTACTCTCCCTTTCTCATTATAGAGAAAGCGATTTCTCAGGGGAAGGGGGTCAGGCCAGGGGAGATACTCTGTGACCCTTTCCAGTCCTCCCCGAAGCACGTGGGGTAGCCAGAGGACGGCAGACATGGGCTTCTGCTTAATGTCAATCAGCAAGAGGATGCAGCGCTGGGACTGATGCCCACAGCTTTCCTGCAGCTGCAGGTGTTATCTTTAGAAGTTTCTGTAGTCAGGGCCCGGCTGTGATTATTTCAGTACTAGTGGTAAAGATAGTAGTGGTAGTTGTCATAGCAGCAGTAGTACTAGTGGTGTGGTGGACGTTGTAATAGTAATTAACATTTATGGAGCACTTACTGTGTCCCAGGCCCTGGACCTTCCTTACTGATATTACCTCAAGCATGGCCACTAGAGTCTCTTGATTTCTTTTTTTCTACTATCTCATCTAGCTACTAAGGAGGTCCTAGAAACAATTACCAATTTCATGTGAGTTTTCTTAATTTCTTTAAAAAAAATCATTATTATGTTTTTTGGCCAATCTATGCTCTAGATGGCTTCCCAGGGGATCTCATCCTTCTACGCTGTGACATGCTGAAGGCCTTCTTCAGACCCCTGCTCTTCCCCAGCCCCCGGGTGTGGTCGCAATGCAGGCCTTTGCTCAGGGCTTTACAGATAGCCCATCGTCTAATCTGCACAGCTTCCTGTGAGGGAGGCCTGTTGTCCTTGCCTTATGGATGAGCATCCTGAGGCTCAGAATGGTTATGTAACATGCTGCACACACCTGGCAGGGCTGGCTTCACTCGCAGGCCTGTCTGATTCCAGAGCCCATGGGATGTTCACCCACCCCTTGCTGCCTGCCTTTCTTCTATGCCAGGGACAAGGGGCCATGCGCCTGCAGAGTGGGCCTCAGCCCTGCACTGCTTGCATTTTCTCTCGTGCTCTCTCAAGTCCTTCTACCCCTGCTAGGGACGGGGTGAGGGCAGTGTAGGGGATCAAGGACTGATGGGGTGTGGTTGGAGGGTTGGAGTCCTGAAGGCTTTGCTGTTTCCAAAGCAAGGAACAAGGCAGAAGAATTCTGGAAAGGTGAACATTTGAACTGACAAGAAAACCTGAACTTTTTAGCTGTGAGCCCTGAATTCAAACTCTGCTCTCTGAACTGTCCCATGGCTCTGAGTCTTAGTCCATATTCTTGACCTTTGCCCTTTTGTGCCAGAGCTTTTAAGCTATGTGAGGAGGCAGACACTGAGATTCTGCTTTGTAAACTCAGGGGGCTCTGGAGGCCAGGCAGATGGCACAGTGCAGGGTGGTGGGCCAGGTAAGAGACCCCAGGGAGCAGAGGGACTGGAGTGCTGTGTTACCCTACACTGGGCAGCCTCCACTGCACTCGAGCCAGCTGAAGTGTGGGGACGAGGGCCCTTTGCAGCCAGATCTTCTGATTTCCCAAGAGAAGCCAGAAATCTGTTTTTCTGTGATCTCTTCCTAGTTTAAAGGTGAGCTACTATTTTAAAGGGCATTGAAAACAGCATGTCTTTGGATTGCTTGGGTCTCTCAGGCTACCTGTTTCAGACCTTGGCCAGATCCTTTTCCTTCTGTAAGTGTAGAGAGAATCCTGCTTCCAGGCGGTGGGAGGGACAGCCCACAAAATGCGTCATTCTTCAAGCCCCTCCCGCTGCCCTGGGGAGAGAGGGTTTGGGTGGGCTGGAGATGCCTGCAGCAGGCCAGTCCCTGGGCTTCTCCTCCAGGCTGCACCTCCGCCGGCTGGTGAGCTGTGAGACCCAGCGGCGCCGGCTGGCGGGGAAGCTGCAGGCTCTCGTGGAGGAGGCATTTGGGAGCCAGCTGCAGGACAGGGACGTCCTGGACCCAGCCTACGTGGAGAGGATCATCCTGCTGAGACAGGTGTGGGGCTGGGGAGCCCTGGGAGACTGAGGGAGTGGGTGGTGCCCCCATTCTTCCCCCTTCTGGTGTGTCAGAGCCCAGTCCCCACAGTGCCTTCAGTAACTGCCTCTTCCCCCAGGGCCACATTTGCCGCCTGCAGGATTTGGTTTCCCCAGCGCACTCCTACCTGTGGACTCGCCCTGCTGTGGGTCGAGCGCAGCTGGGTGCCATCTCGGAGAAGGTGGATGTGATTGCCAAGCGCGTGCTGGGGTGAGTTCCCACAGGGTGATCTAAGGTTCTACACCCTCCTTCCTTCTCCCTCCCAGGGCCCCCTTTACGCCAGGGCTTGGCTATTGGGCCTGCAGCACAACCCCATCGCGAGTGAAGAGGTTCTTGGTAAGGTGATCACACACTGGCTCTCAGGTAGGAGGGCTTATCCGGAGGAGCCCAGGCTCTCCCGGGAAGAGGCAGTGGTTCAGGCTCTGCAGTTGGACCCACCTGGGTTCCATCTCAGCTCCACCACTTACCCAGTATGTCTCCTCCCCAGGGGGCTTCACTTTGGCTAAGTTACTGCACCTCTTTGAGCTTCCATTTCCTCATCTGTAAGGTAGAGATGATGCTAGTTCTTAGTGTAACAGTAACAGAACTCTGCCGATTACCAGGGCAGAAAACGTAACCAAAGCTGGCTTCAGCAGGAGGGGAATGATTGGTGGCTGTCATTGCAGGAGCTGGAAGAAGGGCGGACTGGAGACCCAGCCTAGTGCAGGGGCCAAAGATATGTCACCAAAACCTGATTTCTCTCTCCGTCCCTTTGACCTTCTGCCCCACGCTCCTCCACGCTGGCTACTCTTTCTGCAGCGGCTCTGTATTGGGGGATGGAGGGTGGGATCCTCTTCCAGACAGAAGTCTTCCCCGTTACCTAGCAGTCTGAGCAGGCAGTGAGGGCTGAACCGCTTTTCTCCACGTCTCCAGGGTCCTGCCATCCCTCGGTTTTGCTCGTCCACGTGGTCCATGGTAGCTCACAGACCATCCACGATTCAGCCAGAGGAGGGAGGAGGAAAAGGGGAGGAGGGCAGCACATTCCTTCCCCCTAAGAACCTGACTTAAAAGTTATACATTCATTTCCACCCGGATCCCTCTGGCTAGAGCACCTCTCTTTTCCTTTTTTTTGCGAGGAAGATCAGCCATGAGCTAACATCCATGCTAATCCTCCTCTTTTGCTGAGGAAGACTGGCTCTGAGCTAACATCTATTGCCAATCCTCCTCCTTTTTTTCCCGCAAAGCCCCAGTAGATAGTTGTATGTCATAGTTGCACATCCTTCTAGTTGCTGTATGTGGGCCGTGGCCTCAGCATGGCCGGAGAAGCGGTGCGTTGGTGCACGCCCAGGATCCGAACCCGGGCCGCCAGCAGCGGAGCGCACGCACTCAACTGCTAAGCCATGGGGCCGGCCCTAGAGCACCTGTCTTATGGCCGTGCCAAGCTACCAGGGAGTCTGGAAAATGTAGCTTTTTAACTTGGCAGCCATGTGCCTGGCTAAAAATTTTATCACTACATACAAAAGGGAGAAAGGATACTGGAGGTCTCTTCCAGTCTGCACTGTGGTTGTAAGACAGCTCAGCGGCTCCCCCCACCTCAAAACCTCAGCCTCCAGCGCCAGCTGTGTCTTGAGATTAACTCTGATGGGGCCTGATTGGCCTGGTTTTCCTGTCTCCCAACCAGTCACCAAGGCCTGGGGAATGTGATGTGCTGATCAGCTTAGGTTAGGTTATATGCAGGGCCCTGCATGGACCCCCAGCCTGTGGGCTGTGAATGGGGAGCAGGTAATTCCCCAGGGAGATTTGGGGCACTGGTATCAGGAGAAAGGGAGATGGATGCTGAGCAGCAAAACCCACAAATGTCCATTTTACTCAACTCCCAGCTTTGTTGTGAAGATTAAATTAGTAATAGCAAACAGTTCTCTGTGTGTTTGCTTACACACGTGTTTGGAACGTGCTATGTTAGGTATTATATAGATTATATATGTATACATCTATGTATGTGGGGTGTGTGCGTATACGCTTAAATTCACAGCAACCTAATAAAGTAGGTGTCTGGCTGCGTGCCTAACTGTGCGAGCAGCGAGAGGTAGGTAGCCGAGAGACCAAAGAAAAGACAGTGAACAAGACATAAGCGTTTATTGGGAACTTACAGGGAGCGCAGGGGCGGCCGGCTGGATGGAGTTGCACACCACTACTGCGCACAGAGAGGGGGTTGCTTACGTAGGCGGGGGGACAGAGGCCATGTGCTTGTCAAGGGGGACTGTCCTCGCATGACCAGCATTCTAAGGACCAGTAGCTCACGGGAAGGCTCTGTGTTCTTGAAGACGTGCTGTTCTTTGAGATAAGCAGATCTGGGTTGGCCAGGCCCTGGATCGTGACGATACCAGAGGGTTGGCATCATGCTGTGAAGGAGGCCAGGAGGACACATGGTTACTATAGGGCACGCAGGCTGTTGCCGGGCAAGCGAGACCCTACAGTAGGTATTGTTATTATCCCTATTTTTTTTTTGTGGTTAGTGCTATCGAGTCAACTCAGACTCCTAGTGACCCTGTGTACGGCAGAGCTGAGCCCTGCCCAGTCTTTTTGCACTATCCTTTCACCTTCAAGCGCTATATCAGACTATTCTCCACTGCTTTTCATAGGGTTTTCATGGCCAGTTTTTTCAGAAGTGGGTGGCCAGGTGCGTCTTCCTTGTCTGTCTTAGTCTGGAAGCTCTGCTGAAGCCTGTCCACCATGGGTGACTCTGCTGGTGTTTGAAATAGTGGTGGCATAGCTTTCAGCATCATGGTGACAATAGCCGCCACAGTCTGACAACAGAGGGACGGGTGTATGGTTCTCTGACTGAGAAATGAACCGGCCACGGTGGTGAGAGTGCTGAATCTTAACCACTAGATGACCAGGGCTGGCTGTCCCCATTTTACAGATGAGAAAAGCGAGGCATCGGGCCAGCCCCGTGGCTTAGTGGTTAAGTGCGCGCATTCCGCTACTGGCGGCCCAGGTTCGGATCCCAGGTGCGCACCAACGTACCGCTTCTCCGGCCATGCTGAGGCCGCGTCCCACATACACCAACTAGAAGGATGTGCAGCTATGACCTATAACTATCTACTGGGGCTTTGGGAGAAAAATAAATAAATAAAATTATAAAAAATAAAGAGTAATTAAAAAAAAAAAGAAAAGAAAAGCGAGGCACCAAGAGGCTAAGTAACTTGTCTAAAATAATACAGCTAGTAAGCTGGAAGAGCAGGGATTCAGACTCGGGCAGGCTGGGTCTAGAGCCCGTCTGTATGGTCACATTCTTTGTGGCCTCTCTTTGGTGTGCAGTGCTTGGCCAGGGCCTGATACCTGGCGACCGTCAGTATATTATCAGAATATACATTTCGAAGAGATAAGAACACAAGCACGTGGCAAAAAATACAAACGGCACAAGCGGGTTTACAGCAAAAAATAAGTCTTCACTCCTACTCCAGCCCCAAAGGGAAAGGCAGCCACACTTAGCAGTTTCCTTTATGAAATATCTGTGTATTCAAGGATATGTATGTATAATACATACATTCTCATATTTTTTCAAGTTTTAAATTTAATATCTTGATTATTAATCAAACCTCTTAAACTTGGCTTTAAAACCTAGAAATTATTTAAAAAGGTATATGTTGGCAGTCCTGTTTTTAATCCTTGTCTCTCATCTGCCCAGTTCCAGGACCCTCTGTATGTTACTACTATTTTTAATTATATCAAAATGATCTCTTATTTTCTCCCTTTTTATACAAAAAGTACAATACAGTAACACTGTTGTGCATCCTTTTTGGTTTTTTCCTTTTTCACTTAACTATATATCTTTGGATCTGTCTGTTGCTTAGACAGCATCCTCCTTCTTTCTTACAGCTACCCCTATTCCATTATTATACCACTTTACCATAATTTAACTCATCTCCTATTGATGGACATTTGGATTGCTTCCAAATTTTGCTGTTACAAACAGTGCTGCAATGAATAACACTGAATAGACATTGTTAAGCATGTTTGCAAGTATATCTCCAGGATAAATTCCTAAGAGCTACTGTTATTCATAATACTTCCTTAATTTAGGACATTCCACAGTAGGGGCTGTTAGTTCTAATTCACTGAGCCTCATGTCTTAACTCTGCATCCTCGCCACGGGATTAGGTTTCAGAGACACTGGGGGCTCCCACTCAAGGCAGGAAAGCTGACGCCCAAATGTTCTGAAGCTGCCAGATCTCTAGAAGCTCCTTCTGTGCCCATGCCAAGCTCTGGGCCAGCTCTGACGTGTCCTGGGCTGCTGTTGTTGGCCTCCCGGGGCCTGTCATTCTTTCACCAGCTCCTTGGGAGCCTGCTTCCCCACGGTGACATTGAGGAGAGTGTCTCTTTTTCCCACATTACATTTTATATTTTCAACATTTCATCTTTGTTTTGTAAATAACAGTAATCACCTGGCCCAGTTAATGATGCAATAAGCACTGTTACTTTTATCTCAGATGGAAACTCAGTTGCTCAAGTGCTGGTGGTTAGTAGGGAAATCTGCACTGGAAGTCTGCTTCTTCAAATTACGGCTGAACTCAGTTCCCTGAGCCAGTAGCACTCCACACTAAGCCGAGCTTTAGAATGGAGATGTATGGACCCCGTATGAGCAGGCGATATCAGAGTTGGCATCCTGGATCATCTGCACCAGTGAAGATCTCCAGCCTCAATCCCTCTTCCCTGTTTCCAATTTGAGTCTCCAGTATAACTTAGGGGACCTGGGAAGGTGCTGTGGAATAGACTCCCCCCACCCGGCTCTCATCTCTTGCTCTAACTCAGAATCAGGGCTGGGACAAAGTGTTTGCAAGTCCATCTCTAACTGAATGGGGACTTTCTCTTGAAATTCAAACACGCTTTCGGGAGAGGACCTCAGCCGGACTGCCAGGAAAGTGGGGAATGGTTGCTGGCCCATTGAGTTTTAGATGCTTAAAGGCTTCAGTTGGTGGGCAAAGAATGGTTGGAGCAAGTTAGTGGCAGGACATTACTAGAGCTGGGGTGTCCTGATTTCTTTCTTCCTGCTCTTCCGTGCTACATCTGCAAACGTCCCCACCACTAATCTTTTTTTTTTTTAAAGCATTGATTTTTTTTTTTTTGAGGAAGATCGGCCCTGAGCTAACATCTGTTGCCAATCTTCCTCCTTTTTTCCTTTTTTCTCTCCAAAGCCCCAGTAGATAGTTGTATGTCATAGTTGTACATCCTTCTAGTTGCTCTGTGTGGGACATGGCCTCAGCATGGGTTGACAAGCGGTGCGTAGGTCCGCGCCCAGCATCTGAACCGGCAAACCCTGGGCTGCCGAAGCGGAGCGCGCAGACTTAACCGCTACGCCACCGGGCCTGCCCTTACCCCCTACCAATCTTGAAGCTGTGTTTCAGATAATTTCCTAGAGGGCTTCATTCTTCCATCCTATGTCTAATCCATTCCTAAATTTCTTTTTAGATCCTCTTGCAATCTCTCTGAGCTCTTGGATGTAATAAATATTAGCTATTATTTAACTTTTTATTGAAATATAAGATATCATACTTTTGAGTACTTACTGTCTGTTCAGGCAACGTACTTAGTGCTTTGCAAGTTTTAACTGAGCCCCATCATTGCCCTGTGAGATGCAGACACTATTATTATCCCCACTTACAGGTGAGAAAACTGAGGCATAAAGATTACATGACACAGAGGTAGCAATTAGTAAATCCTCTTATTATGGTACTCTGTTTCCCTTTATTATACACACTTGCTTGGATTATGTATATGTGGTCCCTTAGTTGTTTTTTCTTCCCCAACTCAGATGGGGATACGGGGAGTAGATATTCCCTCCCTCCCCTTCCCCACAGGCAGGCTTGAATGCTGGTTGTGCCACTTATGTTGTAGCTGATCGATAATCTTCTGAAGTTCTCCCTCCCACTCACTTGCCATTGGCCCATGCAGGCCCCTTATACACTGGCCTCCTTCTAGGCTTTTAGAAGGAACTGGTTCGAGCTTAACTCAAGACGTGCTGAATGGAGAACTGAAGAAGCTGTCAGAAGGTCTGGAAGGCACCAAACACAGTAACGTGATGAAACTCCTCCGAATGGCCCTCAGTGGACAGCCGGTGAGGCGGGCAGATGGGCTGGACTGTTCCCTGGAGCCCCTCATTTATCCGTTAAACTAACATTTACTGCAGGCACTAAGCTCAAGTTTTCGGGTTTCAAAGGTGAAGGAAACATGATCACTCCCCTCATTCAGTCATTCAACGGAGAATATTTATTGAGTATGTGCTATATGCAAGTACCATGCTAGGTGCAGTGGATCCAGTAGTGAATGAAACACGCACGCCCTCTGCCTTCGTGGAGCTGGTGGTGGATTAGGGGTAACAGACATATCAACACAGGAAAGACAGGCTCCTGGGACCCGTCCTCACCCGCAGAAATTCAAGACAGTGAAATGTAATCTGCTCCCTGAGATGCAGGCAGCAGTACTGGGGCTGGCCTGGGGCATAACTTCTGCAGCCTGAGGCTGGGCATTAGTTCCTTAGGCAGTTCAAGGAAATAAAGCAATCTGTTCTCTTTGTTCTTAGCAAGGACCCCCTGTAGCTGAGATGATGGTGTCCTTGGGACCAAAGGAGGTTCGGGAACGAATACAGAAGGTGCTTTCCAGCTAGAGAGATGTGCAGGACAATGGAGGTGGCCCTTGGAACCTGTACGCTCAGAAACTGCCTTCAGAGGGGAGGAGGAGGAGGCCTGAGGCCCATCAGGAAGCTTGTGGAAGGAACCCAGAGTGGAAACAGTCTCAAGGCGTGTCCAAGTGCATTTATGGCTCCACAGCAGGCCCATCCTCGTCGGCTGGCCAGGGAAGCCCGGCTCCATCTCACCTCGACTCTGGAAAGGAAGGCCTCATATCTGCTTCTGACACCACATTACACAGCAGAGGTTAGGAGCTGGTTCACAGAATAGTCCAGAGGACTTGTGTTTTAGTCTGCTTGGGCTGCCATAACAAAATACCACAGACCAGTGGCTTAAACAACAGAAAATTATTTTCTTAACGGTCTTGGAGGCTGGGAGTCCAAGATAAGGTGTGGACAGGTTTCGTTTCTCCTGAGGTCTCTCTCCTTGGCTTACAGATGGCGGCCTTCTTGCTGTGTCCTCACATGGTCTCTCCTCTGTGCGTACCCTTCGTATCTCTCCGTGGCACCCTTGTCCAAATGTCCTCTTCTTAAAAGGACACCAGTCAGATTCGATTCGGGCCTGCCATAATGGTCTCATTTTAACTTAATCACCTCTTTAAAGGCCCCATCTGCAAATACAGTCACATTCTGAGGTCCTGGGGGGTTAGGGCTTCAACATGTGAGTTTTGAGGGGACACAGTTCAGCCCATAACAGCTTGGCAGCCACCTGGACTCACAGATCCCAGTTCTCAGGCCCAGTCTGGATTTGGAGCAATAAAGGATGATTGACACAAAGTCTGAACTGGAGGTCAGACTTTCTTTGGTTGTAAGGGGAGAAGTTACTCATCTGCCCAGGGTGAGCACTTACGTATTGTAATAGTCTTTGTCCTTGGACCTGGGGCACCCTGTGTCTCCCTTCCCTAAAGGTTGTCTGTTCCTTTTTTCCAGTTCTCCAGACCTGGTCCTTGGACTGGAGACCTTCACCCTGTCTATTTTGCATCTTTTTCTTCATATTCACGCCGTTTGTAAGTCATTGTCTGTGGGTTTCTGAAATGAGCTGTTCTTCTTGGGGTGAATAACAAGTGAGAGGAGGATGGTGGCTGGCTGCAAAGACCCCCTACAGGACTTCTAGGCCTCCCTGTGTGGCAGCCAGCATCTCACATGGGCCCCAATCATCTCAGCCTCCTGGTATTCACAGTGAATAGGGCTGACTTGTGATACATCACGGTTTCCATCTTGTTCTCTTGGATCCCTTACTTTGCGGGAAGCCAGCTTCCACATCACGAGGACACTCAAGCAGCCCTATAGAGAGGTCCATGTGACAAGGAACTGAGGCCTCCTACCATGTGAGACGTGTGAGTGAGCAATCCTGGAGGCCGATCTTCCAGCCCCACTCAAACATTCAGATGACTGCAACCTTGGCTGACATCTTGATGACAACCTTCATGAAAGATCCTGAGCCAGAACCACTCAGGAAAGCTGCTTCTGAATTTCAGACACACAAATTATGAGATAATAAATGTTTATTATTTAAAGCCACTTGGTTTGGGGATAATTGTTACCCAGCAATAGATAGCTAATACACTCCACTTGCCAAGGGGAGAAGGGAAAGGGGATTAAGAGTTTGTTGAGCCTCACAGAGTCCTAGTCTTTGCTTGAAAAGTACATCAGATAAAGTTCTTTGGTTGCAAGCAATAGAAACCAACTCTGCCTAACTTAAGTTTATTGGAGACTGTAAGTTTATGGAGAGTTTGTTTATGGGAGTTTAAGTTTATGTGCGAGTCAGTGAATCTATGAGAAAGCCAAAGAACCAGGTCTCGGAAAAGACAGGAACTGGGGAAGCTCTGGCTATGCAGGCAGCAGGAGCTAATGGCCAGTCTCGTCTGCATTCTTCAGGGGAAACATGAACTCCAACTGTTTTTGGTGTTTGGTTCTCTGTGTTTCCCCTTCAGTTATGGATGACTTGGCTAAAGATTCAGATTCTAAGAAGAGAGTGTCTGGTTGGGCTAGCTGAGGTCGTGTTGCCCTTCCTTAGCCAGGAATAGGTAGTCCCTCAGGGATTATATCCAATGGAGGAAAAGTTGTTCCCGAGGAAAACTAGGGAGCTTTGTCTAGGAGAAGGGGTAAGGGCAGAAACAACAGGTGTTGACCACAGAAAAGGACGTAGAATAACAACACTTGCAATTTATTGTGCAGTTAGGTGAGCCTCAACCACTCCTGGCTTTCAGATTATGTTGGTAAACACTAGCCCATCATCTCATTAAATCTTGACAACCCCATGAGAGAGGTATTATTATTGTTGTTTCTATCTTATAGATAGGGAAACTGAGGCTCAAAAACGTTAATGAACTCTTCTGAGGTTATGGTATGAGCAGAGGGAGGATTCAAACTCAGGCTTGTGGCGATCCAGAGTCCAAGCTCAACACTTACTACTGAGGGGCGTCTGCTTCTAGGACATTAGGATGGGTACAAGAAACTGGCTTGTGAGCAGGGAATGTGAATGTTTTAACAAAATGATCAAAATGCTGAGTTGATAAAGCTGCTGCCACTTCCTCAGCTGGAGGGAGCTGTCTGTAAAGCAGCATGTATCTTTTTTTGGATTGAGGGTTTTGCTCAGGACCAGCAGGAGTGTACGAAGCGATGCCACACATTTAAAATAACCTCAAGTTCGACCTCAAGTCTGTCCCCCTGTGTTTTTGAGAGTATAGTGAAGTGGTAAAGGCCATGGAGGCAGACTGTCTGGACTCAAACCCATTTCTACCACTTACTGTGTGACTTCTGTACCTCAGTTTCCTCTTCTGTAAAATAGGGCTAACAATTGTACCTCTCTCAAAGAGTTGTAAGGATTAAAATAGATAACATATGTAAAGTTCTTAAAACAGGGCCTGGCACTTGACAAATGTTAGCTATTACCATCATGATCGTTACCATTATTTCTACTCTTAGAAATGGTGATCTTGGGCCGGCCCTGTGGCTTGGTGGTTAAGTGCACGCGCTGCAATGCTGGTGGCCCGGGTTCGGATCCCGGGTGCGCATCGAGGCACCACTTCTCCGTCCATCCTGAGGCCGAGTCCCACATACAGCAACTAGAAGGATGTGCAGCTATGACATACAACTATCTACTGGGGCTTTGGGGGGAAAAAATTAAATAAATAAAATCTTTAAAAAAAAAAAAAAAAAGAAATGGTGATCTTGGTTGCAAGGCAGAGAAACACACTCAGATTACCTTGAACCATGAAAGGAATTTATGGGAGCAATTAGGACTCACACAGATCCAAAGAGCAGGACTTCCAGCTGGACCTCACAAGAGCCTGGAATCTGTACCTGGAAATCCATCAAGACCCAAAGCAGCTACTTTTGTTCCTCTGAGACCATGCAGTTTCTAACATCTGTCTCTGTCTCTGTGTCTGCTCACCTCATCTTCCCTGTGTAGGCTGGCTTTCTTTTTATCTCTGCACTTGGCCAGCAACTGCCCCAGCCCTAAAGCTGAATCACCTCTCTTCTACACTACCAATTAAGTAACTAGTGTTCCATGTCCAAATTCCCAGGGGAGAACCTGATTGGCCTAGCTTGGGTCAGCTGTCTACCCCTGTTCCAATAACTGGCCAGTGGGACAGAGTCCTGTAGTACAATCATGGCTGCAGGGGACCCACTCTAGTGAGTGGGGAGAGTGCTTCCTTCTCTTGAGCATATTCGCTGTCAATTTCATTTAGAGAGTATCCTTTCCAGAAAATTACTATTTTCCTAGAGCCAAATTTGGAATCTCATTCCTATTACCTTTATCCTACTTGGTTTTTTTCTTCATAGTACTTATTACTATATGAAATTATATAGTATATTTGTACATGTTTACTGTCTATCTTACTCTAAAGAATATAAGATTAAGACAGGCAGGAAGTTTTTCTTATTCTTGGTTATAACCATAGCACCTGGCATATTGCCTGACACATAGTAGGGAATCAAGTAAAGATCTCATGATGAAAAAAATGTTTGAGGGCCTCATCAGTCAGATCAGTTTTTTCAGAAGTGGCATTCATCAGCTGGTCTAACTCTTGCCAGATTCCGACAGTTTCACTTTCATTGACTCGGAGAAATCTTGTCTCTCTCCCAAGATTTGCAATTGTAGTTTGCGTTCTGGCCCATTGCCTGTAATTGGCATTGAATCCAGCTATCTGAGAGACTGAGTCTTGACAAAGACCTTGAAGTGAAGGATGGGGACAGATGGAATAGTTCACTATAGGGGGATGTTCAGTAGGGAGTATAATTAGAAGTTATCTATTCATCAGTTAATATTTTTGTCTTCTGACCACGGTAAGGAATACTTAGAAAATGAGGACCCTCTGGGTGCTAGCGGGGTCCAGAGAGGGAAGCTTTTTTTTTTTTTTTTTGGTGAGGAGATCAGCCCTGTGCTAACATCTGCAAATCCTCCTCTTTTTTTGCTGAGGAAGACTGGCCCTGGGCTAACATCCGTGCCCATCTTCCTCCACTTTATATGGGATGACGCCACAGCATGGCTTTGCATTGGTGTGAGCCCGGGATCTGAACCCGCGAACCCCGGGCCGCTGCAGCGGAGCGCACACACTTAACTGCTTGCACCACTGGGCCGGCCCCAGAGAGGGAAGCTTTTAATCTGTTCAGGGGTGTCAGAGGTCTTTACAGATGAAGTGACCTTTTTATTTTGGTGAGGAAGATTAGCCCTGAGCTAACATCTGTTGCCAATCCTCCTCTTTTTGCTGAGGAAGATTGGCCCTGGGCTAACATCTGTGCTGATCATCCTCTACTTTATGCGTGGGATGCCTGCTACAGCATGGCTTGATGAGCGGTGCATAGGTCTGCGCCCAGATCCGAACCTGTGAACCTCGGGCCTCACAGTGGAGCACGTGAACTTAACACTATGCCACCGGGCCGGCCCCGGAAGTGACCTTTGAAATGGGTTCTGAGGGATGGGTATGAGTTTCCCAGGTCTGTGGGGGTTGGAAGGGTATTTCAAGCAGAGGGAAGAAAAGAACTTCACCAAGTTTGGCGTGATTGGCATCAAGGCTAGGAGTTGAGGGAGTGGTAGAAGAAGTGGCTGAGAAACCAGGCAGAGAGGGGAGATCCAAATGGCCCTTCTTTGCCAGGTCAAGGGTATCAGGCTGCCGTCTGATGCAAATAACAAAAAATCCAGATTCAAACCAGCTTAAACAAGATTTAGTATCCCACATAACAGGAAGTTCAGAGGTAAGGCAGGCTCTAGGGTCGATTAATTAAGCATTCAGTGACGTCAGTGAGGTCTTTCGGCTCACTGCTCTACTGGCCCCAGCATCTGCAACAGCCTTGGGTTTGTTTGCTCTGCTCACAACTGGCTGCCTAAAGCAGCTGGGCCTCTCTGCACTTCCTCTGGTGCAGAGACAGAGTCTGGTCGGAGGGAAAGGGGCTTTCTGTGGCTCTCTCCCTAAAAGCAAGGAAACTTCTCCAGCACCCTCCTCCTCCTGACTTCCCCATTCTTGAACCCGTCACTACTGGGGAAGTGGGAGGGTAGTCCCCACAGACCAGTCAAACCCGGAGCTGAGGTGCATGGCTGGAGTGGGGACTGGTGGGTACCTGAACAAAGTGGGAGTTTGGTTAGTGAAGATATGAGTTGGGTCTTCATGAAGTGAAAGGTGAGGAGCGGTTGAAATGTTTTAAGCAGGGAAGTGACCTGATCAGATCTGTGTTTTTCTTAAAGATCATTCTGGCAGCTATTACTGGGCCCAGGACAGGCCGCCCTAAAATATTGCACAAGGGCATATTGATTATTTTGAATTAAAGCCA